GTAATAATTTTTATAGTAAAAAAATATGAATACCCCACCTCATCTTCCATTCGTGAACAACTTTCTTCTTCAGTATTATCCTTTCTTCTTCAGTGTTATCCATAAGTTTTTCGTAAATTATGTTATGCTCTTCAAGTTTTTTGTTTTTGTTTAATGTTAAGCATTCGATATAAGTTAATTTTTATTACTTTTGAATTGTTTTATTATTCTAATAGATAAGCAATCTTTGGAATTGAATTGGATCAATGAGGAAAAAAAAAACAAATCAAGATTATTGTTTTGTTATCGTTATCGTTACTACTGTAGGTTATCATTAATATCATAATACTATATCGGTAAATAATTCCAACTCTGTACGTAGTGATTATACTGGGTTCGTGTTCAGGAATAAAAGTACAGTATTAGGATTCATTACAAAACCTTCTATTAAGTTCCATATAAACTTATATAAGTTGAAAGGTTTTTTTTTTAATTAATTTTGCAACCCAAAATTATGATAATCAAAATTTTTGATAAAAGAATCAGTACAAAATTTATTAATAATAAAAAATTTTTTATAAGATATCGATATACGTATGCAGATTTACATCACATTATTTATAGTAAGTATTAACATTAATTTTTAATTAATGTTAAGAAAATCAAATACGCGTAAAATCATAAAAATGAAATACATTAATTAATTAATTAATTGATAATGATAACGAAAACTTTAATAAATTAATTATAGTATGTAGTGTACAGTACACATAAATAAATTGAAATTAAACAGATAAAAATCCAACAAACCCAATTAAGGAAGCGCAAACAATACTTAGAATAATCCATGAATATTTAATTTCATTTCCATTATAGATACCAGAATTTTCCACTTTAATATGATGAATTTGAGTTTCTTTAGGAATTTCACTTGAAAGATTAGGAGTTGATGTAATTGAAACAAATTTTGTAGATGTTATAATAATTGATAAAGGAGAATTTTGTTTATTATTATTATTATTATTATTGGAGTCTATAATTGAAGAAGTTGGAGAAGAAAGACCACTTAATAATCCTGACATTCCACCAATAGATTTTCCTTTGAATTTTGATTTTGTAGGTTCCGGTTCAACATTTGACCTTGTTGGTAAACCTTTTGTAATATCATCCGGATTTGGAGGTTCAAGTTGTCGCAATGCCGTTACAGAAACATTAAATGTAAATGCAAGGAATATGAGTAGAATTGAGGTGGTTGTTAAAAAATTATGAATAGAGTTCATATAAGAAAGCATTTTTTTTTATGTGAAATTCAAGATAATTTGAGAAATAAAGAAATAACGAAAGGTTTTATTACTTAATAGAAGTCAATATCATTATAAGCTTTGAGATTGATGAGACATGGAGATGCATAAACACATCAAATCATCCGATGAAACGATGATGATAAAAATAAAAGAATAATCCATAGTTTTATCGTTCAACATATTATACTCTTCGCGTCAATATATATCATAAGTTTAGAAATGGTTTAACCTTGTCGTCCTTTGGGGTCAAAAAAAAAAAAAAAAAAATTATAAAGACATAATTTTTTTTTTTAATACAGTAATACATATTAAAGAGGAATATTATACGTGTAATAAGTAATGCATTATTATTCTATAACTGATAATAGCTGATAGTGATTGTAATCAAATTAAAAATTTTGAATAAAGAATTTTAAAAAGAAGATTCAATCTAATTTTAGACTTTGATTTATTGAATATATTTTTCTTAAAAAAATTTAACCAATGTTTTTAGTGTTACAATATTTTAGTTTTAGACCTTCTATGTGGAAAAAAAATTTCGGCACTTTAACGCGAACCTTCCTTATAGAGAAAAACTTTAAAGTATTGCAAAGTTCAATTGATCCAGTGTTGTAACACACCTTTATTTGTGAGTGAAAAAAAAAATTTGTAATAAAAAATATGATTAATAATATGAAACTTTCTACAGCAAATATTAGCTAATGTTAATTTTTTTTTTTGGTGTTGCAATATTTTAATCGCGATCCTTCTATGGAAAAAAATTTCAAGTGGTTCAGTATTTTAATCGCGATCTTTCCAAATGGAAGAAAACTTTAAAGTGTTGCAACATTCAATTGCCTTTAAGTTGTAACACTTTTGGCTATGTGAATGAAAAAAAAAAGATTAATACGTAATATGAAACCCCATGATAAAGATAACGATAACAAATAAATGATATGGTGTACATCTTGCATTCAAGCCAAATATTACTTTGTTATATTACGTGTAGTAGTTTATAAAAGTAATATATTTGTTAATTTTATAATAATATATTTGTTAATTTTATAATAATAATAATAATATATTTGTTAATTTTATAATATTATAATAATATATTTGTTAATTTTATAATAATATATATATACACTCACGTTTTATAAAAAAAAATAATAATAAATTTAAAAAAAAATATAAAAAGATGTATTTGGAATGAATAACTATTGCATATTACTTTTAAAGGTTAGTTTTTATTTTATACGTATAGTCAAATTATTGTAACAATATTTATTTTTAATATAGGTTATACATGCATTGGCCAGTTCCAAACTTTATAGCACCCTTGGGAACGTGCTCTTTGTAAACGCACGTTTATGTCAAGGAGACTTATGGTTTACTGTAATATGAAGTATAATATCTTATTTACATAAAAAATAATACATCATTCATTTATTACAATATATTAAATTTGAAACATTAACTTTTTTGTTATCAAATAAAATATAAATTTTATTTCTTTATATTAAATTTACAAATACTTTTTGAAAAAATCATTTTAGATAATAAATTTAATGTGCAATGCATACAATATTGTAAGACTAAATAAAAATAAAAACGATTACTAAACAATTAAAAGAATATATAATGTATAAATAATGTATAAATAATTATTATCTTGTTGTATTATATTATGTGATGAGTGTTTTTCCGGTGATTTCTAGTTAAAAAAAAAAAAAAAAATACTTTTTAGAACATGCGTTCTGCATGGAGATCATAAAAAAAAGATATTTTAGTTAGAATAAATTCTTCGATCGAAAATCTTGCAGATTAAAATTTATTCTTTGCATAAAGTGGACAACACACACATTTTATATATATACTGTACATATAAACAAGGACTTAAGAAATTTGAATGTATTAATCTACATCTGGCACCTTTATTTGTTGTTGTGAACAAAGAGATGTTAATACAAAGAATGTCTATGCATAATCCTTGCGTATTTAGGTAGCGTTATAAAAATGAAATCATTCGAAGAGAATCCAGGTAATCGACCAACAAAATCCATGTGATTTACAGTGGTATACACCATTATTAAACTAAATTCTGATTGGATTATTTTTTATCTTTGTTATTATAGCCCTTGTCATGTATTCGGTATGGTATCATTGACTGAAAATTAACTTTCCGATTTATTTGTACAAGTCATTTATATATTAATCCTTTATGTAAATCTTTTAAAGCTTGAGAGTTGTGACGCATGCTTATAAAGCGCATAAATATGAACTTTTTTATAAATACCCGAGCCAACAAAACTTTTAATGTTCATTAAGGTCTTGAGATGTTGATAACATTACTCGTTTGAAATGCAGTAAATAGGTAAATACTATATCAGATATTGATCATTCTGGCTGTTTTTATAAATCTCTTATCAGATTTTATTTGCTACGAAAGAACTTTTACAGACCTTCAAAAAAATAAAATAAAATAATAAAAAAAATAAAAATAAAAAAAAATAAAAAAAAAAATCGAAACCGTATAAAA